CACCAACATGATGCCTAATTAAACAATCACTAGAACTTATGGTGAACAAAATTTCAATCTGAAATTGGAATTGCAATGGACTATTCCTTCATGTTTTACGAGGAATCAACCCTTCATCAGCAGGTACCATCTTCATTTGCATCATAGTCATCTCTTTCACTGTGGATCCTGCCATGAGCACATATATATTAGATACGCAAGTTAATGAGTACTATATTTCACATATCATATATGAAAGTCATTTTAGGTGCATGAATTTACCTCTCATGACGTCTTTGTGAGCCAGTGTCACTTCTATTTTCACAGTTAGCATAATAGTCTCTCCTCATCTCAGCCCATTCATTCTGCATTTGATTTACAGACTCAACAACCTGACTATTTTCTTCTCGAAGCATTTTGTTTTCCCTCTCTGTTGCTCGAAGTCTAGCATGCAATTCAGCTTTGCTAAGTGCTGGGCCTCGTACATCTCTTGCTTTGACACCACCACCAAATCCAATTAAATGATCACGCCGCTTATTACCGTTGTAACATTTATCCATAACTTCAACATTGGAGAGATTAGGATCTGAACTAACTACATCCACAAGTTCTGCCTGAAATGAACCAATAATAGTGTTGGACAAATGCTACTGTCAATACCAACTAGAAACCATAATGAAACTATGCATTATCTAAGAGGCATTCACAGGATAGTTATTCTGCACAAAACCTGAATCTTACATGCATCCTAGAAGATTCAACATCCACCAAAGTGTCTCCCTTCTTGCGAGTCTCAAAGAATAACTCATCCAAAGTTGGTGGTCTGTTTTCCTTTCCTCCCTATTCGAGCAGAGAAATGTATATAGTAGAAAACAAGTGTGATTTAATGAAAAATTATGTACATAATTCTTTTATTTATACCATATTGTAGATTATCTCTCTGAAGGGTTTGCTTCCAGTGCGATGAGGCATTTTTAAGCCTGCTCTGTTCCGAGAGTTTCTAAGGCTCATTGCCTGTATTTAGTTAACAAACGGACTCATTTTGGGCAAATATAAGTCAAGTAAAATGCATAGAACATACTGGAAAGAGAGGGGACATCATCACTTACAATAAAATCTTTGCTATAAAAATGCTCCTGGACAAGCCATTGCCAATCAGATGGGTCAAAATCCTTTGGCTTATTTTTTATAGCCTGCTGCATAGTTTTTGCTGGTTTCACAAAATGTCGATGCAAATCTCCACGCCAGTTAATCCAAAGAGACTTGGCATGTTCCATTATCTCATCTTTGTATACATCAATTTTAATATCTGGATCTTCATTTTCAAACTTGTCCTGCAAAATTATAAAAACAAATGATTCAGTGCAAGCATAGTTTTATTGAAAACAAGAGAGAACATTTCATAGGAAGATAGATGCGTACCGTAATCGAGGCAAATATGTGTTCCTGCTCTGTGTTACTAATGTCTGACCATTTCTTCACTTTGACCGGAGTAATGTTCCGATCACGAACAATTCTACCCAGATGACGTGAAAAACTATTCGAAAGAGCACGATTGTTGTAAAACTCAACTTTAATTTTTTGGTTCTCCTTGAGTTTGGCAACTTCCTTACATTTGTTCTTGCCACGGCCCTTGTGCTGAACCATTTTAGTACCTGGCAAATTAGATAAACATAAAAATATGAACTCTAGATATGAATTAAACAAATGATAGTTGAATTATCGTGCATACCATTTTGTAAGGTACCATTCAAACTCTGCACCTGGACTCGTTCAATTACATCTTGCTCAGTATCTAACAGATATGTCAAGAAAACAACTATTATAGTAAATTTATTTATTGAATGGAAAAACTTGTATTGAATGTTTTAATATACCTTGTTCTGTATCTTGCAAATTAGGTTGAGTAGAACGTCTTCTCTTTGCAGTAAGGATACTGTTATGTGCATCATCCGAAGCATGGGATCCATTATTGCTATTACTAATATCTACATGACACAACAAATTGATACGAGGACAAAATAAGTAACTTAACAATATTTCATTTTGTTACTAGTTTACTCCTTGAGACGATGCAGTCCTCACATTTGTTTTTGCCACAGCTACTGCGCTTAACTGATTGAGAACCTAAAACAATTGAAAAACAAATTATACTAAGTACTTTATGTAGAAAATAAAATAAATTCTTGTCGTACCATCACTTGGAGCACGTGAATTAGTTTGCGGACGAAGTCTTCTTTTAGCAGCTTGATTACTATTATGTACGCCATCCTCTTCGGTGGTATCATCATTTGCATCGCCCATGTCTACAATACATGTTAATGCTGTTGATATAAAAATATATATGGCATAAGTAGAGTAGATATTGAGAGGGGAATATTCTAACTTTTGGAATTGTTATATTCCCTAGCTCTCCGAAGCCATGTGTCTATTGACTCTTCGTCTGAATCATCCTCCTCTCCTAAGAAAACAAGAAATTAGTTTTAATAAGCATACTAGCTAGCTATTTGTTCAATATTATCAGCAAAGAAGCATATTAATTCTATTGTTACTTGGTAAATATTATTTAATTTTGAATATACATTCATGAAGGATAATTACTAGGTTGTGGCACAGCAGTGTGTTTCTGGTACTTTAGATTGCTCTGCCTTACATAGACAGGCTTGCTCTTTCCTTCTTGCACAATAGCTGTAGCTGACACCATGTTCTCTGGTGACCCAAATAAATCATCAGCTGTTGAAGGTGCTGTCCGTCTTGCAACTTATTGCTGAAGTAGTCCAGGACTAATGAACTTCGAGTTGTTGTTCTGCAGTGCAGACACTCTATTTCTTCCATACCTTCCAGAAATCATCACAACAACATACAAGGCTACACTAGTGTTAAAATAATTAACAATTGTTATCTGATAGCGATCAAAAGATAAAATAAAATGTTTATGTTGTATCAATAAAATTTGAAATGATAAAAGGAAATTATCATTATTATGGATCAATATAATTGTCAGATAAGAACACAGAAGGACTGCGAATGTTCCATCTTTATGCAAACAAGGAATGTAAGGACAAGCATCATCATGGTTTTCTCTTTCTTTTTAGTGATGCTGAGGGAGAATCATCTAGTATGTCTTCTTCATTGCCATCATCTTGCTCAACTTCAGTGCTTTCATCATCTGATTCTCCTGCTGGTACTTGGTAAGTGTCACGTGGTTGCATTTTCTCAATCAAGTGCCAACCTTTGATCTGATTGTCTTTCACAAAAAATACTTGAGCAGCTTGACTAGCTAAAACAAATGGCTCGTCTGTTTGAAGCAACCGCTGTAGGTTAACACTAGTAAGCCCATATTTATCTATCCGTATTCCACGGTCTTTATTAAATACATCAACCCAGTTGCAGCGAAATAACGGCACCCTCCTTCCACCTAAGTACTGAATCTCAAGTATTTCTGTCAAAACTCCATAATATTCCACATCATCACCAAGAACCATCACACCACTGTTTTGTGTACACCTGCGGCTGTCCCGTCTTTCTGTGCGATATCTGAACCCATTCATGTCATATCCAGTAAAGCATGTTATATTCTTCAGCGGACCACGTGACAATGACAAAAGGTCTTCCATGACCTCACTCTTATCATGCTGGTGCTGCTGATATATCTACAGGGCAAAAAGATTAAAAAAAATAACATCAACAAATATACATATTTGAAACGGTTTATTCCATATATGTAATTATATAAATATTACCTTCTCTTTAAACCAGTTGATGAATTTTTTGTTCCATGTTGAGGTAAATTGTACCATTGAAGAACCCTCTGTACTGTTGCAGTACTCACTGCAACATTTTAAATTAGAAATTACATAAGCTTGTGAAATGAATCGTAAGAAACATGACATAAATAAGTGCCATTTTTATCAAGGGATACCTGATATATGCTTGGACTTCATCGCAATTCCGCAGAATATAAATATGAGCTTGTTCTGATTCAAGCATATCAAGATCTCGAGTTTTACGAGAACCAATGGGCCTTCCAGCACAGGAGAAGATTGATAAATTAAATTTGTTACCAATAGATGTGTCATGTATTCTTCCTGGACGATTGTGTTTTGTCTCGACATCATCCAAGTACCTAGAGCTTAATGTCATAAACTCATCTGCAATGTATCCCTCAGCAATTGAACCCTCTGGGCGAGCCATATTCCGAACTAGTGATTTTAGGCAGTGAATTTGTCTCTCAAATAAATACATCCATCGATAGATGGTTGGTCCACCAATTAGAGCTTCTCTAGCCAAATGAACAGGCAAATGCATCATGACATCAAAGAAGGATGGTGGAAATTCCTTTTCAAGCTTACAAAGAATTACTGGTATTTGAGCATCCATTTCTTCAAGCTGTTCAACTGACAATGCCTTCGAATTTAATTTCTTAAAGAACTGGGATAGCTCCACAAGTGGTTCATAAATATTTTCAGGGAGCAGTCCACGCAGAGCAAGAGGGAATATATGATTTAAAATAACATGACAGTCGTGGCTCTTCAATCCTGACATTTTCCGCTCTTTCATATTAACGCAACGACTTATATTTGAAGAAAATCTATCAGGAACTTTCAATTCTTTAAAAAAACTAAGCAGTGCTTTTTTTTGTCTGGAGATAACATGTAAGGCGCAGGTGGCAAAACCACCTTTCCTCCATCATCTACTGGATGCAAGTCTGGCCTCAGGTTCATGAGTTTTAAGTCACTACGGGTATTAATATTGTCCTTGGTCTTCCCTTTGACATTCATTAGTGTTCCAATAATGCTATCACATATATTTTTTTCTATATGCATCACATCAAGATTATGACGTAGCAATAGAGTTTTAAAATATGGTAACTCAAAAAAAATGCTCCTTTTCTTCTAGTTATCTCCCCTATCACTGCGTGATACTTTTGTCTTCTTACTCATATCCTTTGACAATATAATTCCCTGTAAATCCTGCACTTGCTTGAGCACATCATCTCCGGATAACTCCTTTGGTGGTCCTCAGCTCTCTTTTGTACCATCAAAAGAAGTTTTGTCATTTCTCCATCTGTGGCTTCTGCGAAGAAAGCGCCGATGACCCATGTAGCAAAACTTCCGACCTTTCTTAAGCCACATTGAATTTGTTTCTTTATGACAAACTGGACATGCCAACTTTCCCTTTGTGCTATGGCCTGATATATTTCCATAAGCAGGGAAGTCATGCACTGTCCAAAGAAGAGCTGCACGTAGCTTGAAATTTGTCTTGGTTGATGAATCATATGTGTCAACTCCATCTTCCCAAAGTTCTATCAGTTCCTCTATCAATGGTTGCAGATAAACATCGATTGCATCCCCAGGACCATCAGGTCCTGGTAGTAGCATTGACAACATTACATTTTGTTGCTTCATGCACATCCAAGGAGGCAAATTAAGAGGAACAAGGAATACAGGCCAGATGGAATAGGAGGTTCGCATGTTAGCAAACGGCTGAAACCCATCGCTAGCAAGACAAAGCCTCACATTCCGAGGTTCAGATGCAAATGATGAATGGATTTTATCAAACTCCTTCCATGCTTTTGAATCAGCAGGATGTCGCATAACTCCATCATCAACCCTACACTCTTTGTGCCACTTAGCATATGCGGCCGTTTTCCTACACATAAATAACCTCTGCAATCTAGGTTTTATAGGAAAGTACCGCATAGTTTTATGTGGAATCTTCTTCCCAGCTGAAGAGTGCTTAATTTCCCCTGTGTGTTTTTCTTCTTTCCACCTAGATGATCCACATACCTTGCAGGATTCAGCATCTATATCTTCTTTCCAGTACAGCATGTAATCATTCTTGCAAGCATCAATTTTTATGTAACTTAGTCCTAGTTCACGAATAGTTTTTTTTGCTTCATAATAAGAATTTGGCAGTGTAGAGTCATGAGGTAGAAAGTCCTTGCGCAGCAATTCCAACAATGCGGTGAAGGACTTATTACTCCATTTCCCCAAATTCTTAACATGAAGCAAATTAACTAAGGCAGATAATTTAGAGGTTCTGGACCCTTCATACAGTGGTTGGTTGTATTTGTCAAGCAAAGCATAGAACTTGGCCGCATCAGTGTTTGGCTCCTCTTCAGGTCCCTGATCAGTAGATTCATGTGTCGCTTCGTCTCCACCAGGGGTGTTGCACTGAGGAAATAAATCTTCCATCAGGTCTTGCATTCAATTATATCCTTCCCCATTAAATTCCTGTGAATCATACTCATCAACTTCTATGTCATTCTCTTGTTCTGCTAAGACTTCACCATGATGGTACCAAAATGTGTAGCTCCTCAGTATTCCATACGCTTTCAGGTGAGAAGACACTATGTGACGAGGCAAAGAATATGTATTGCAGCACTTGATGCATGGGCAACGTATAACCTGGACACCATCTAATTTACTGAATGCATAATCTATGAACTTCTCTACACCCTCTAAGTACTCGTGATTTAGCCGATCATCCACAAGGCCCATCCATGCCTTGCTTGGAGCCATCCCCTCTAATTGCTAGTTGATATTAAGTTTTATATAACCCTGTATATATAATTAATGTCAAAGAAGAGTTACAATACACTGTTAGGTAAAATGTCAAGACTAGATAGATATCATATAAATTATTATTTGGCAATATGATTAATTGCACTGCATTCTGTTTTTAGTTGACTATAGATGAAATAATTCATACACAAAAAAAAAGTGACAGCCCAGCGCTATAAAATATGTTTGATTGATTCAAAAAACAACAATTCAGAAATGTCTAACAAATGCGGACATGCAACAGATTGATTAAGGATAGAATCCAAACATCATGGATTGATTAAGGATAGAGGACAGGCACCAGATCAGAAACGACATGATTTCAATGCAAAGGGAGAAGTAGTGACCTGTAGTAGAACTTTCTAGGGTTTGATTGAAGAAGCACTCGGACGGGAACCACCGGATCAGTAGCGCGATGAGGCCGCGCGGCACGGTGCCGCGCTGGAGAAGTAGAGGATCAGCCAATCGGCACCAATGATTAGCGCTCCATCCGTGGTTCTCTCAATCTGGTGAGGGAGGGGATGTGAGAGGGGAGAAGATATTGGGTCTATTATGAATGGAGGAGGAGATATGTACATGGACATATGCCTAAAACTCCTCCTTTGAGCGCCAAAACAAATAAAAAAGGTATGTAATCACCCGCCATAATTTTTTCCATGCATCTGAAATTTTTTTAAAAAGCCACAACTTATTTTCTTTAATGTCCCTGATGTGAAACTGTACTAATAATTTTTTTAGACTCATTTTTTTCATAATCTCACAACACATTTTCTCTGTTCTTTTTAACTCAAAATTCATTTACAATATATATTATTTTAGTACAATATATTTTATTGTGTTTATTCAAAGTTTTATGCACTATATATAATGGTTGTCTTCTTCTATTGTAATAATCTTGTTGGAACAGTCAATCCTCTAACACCTAATGGCTTCTTGAACTATGCCGATATACCCGATGGCGTTGGATCGGTTATGACCTTGTACGAAGGAGTAAACTTTGTAACTATACTCATTTTTGTCATAATCAGACAATACATTTTCTCTGTTCTTTTTTACCTTAAAATTCATTTACAATATACACTATTTTAGTACAATATATTTCACGGCATATATTTTATTGTCTTTTTTGAAAGAAATATAATGGTTGTTTTCTTCTAATTTAATAACTAGTTTGAACGGTCGATCCTCTAACGCCTAATGCCTTGATGAACTATGCCGAATATACACCCGATGGTGTTGGATTGGTTATGACCTTATACAAAAGAGTACACTTTTATAACTAGACGACAGTGTTGGATTGGTTGTCTAAACCTCTTAACCCAAGAACAAAGATACGCATGATAGCGACAAATCCATAAACTATACTAAATTTGGTGTTAACATTGTAATTAATAAAAAATATCTTGTTCACATAGAATGATTTTGGAACATATAGTAGATGTATTTTTTTTAAAAAAAAACATATGGAAAAGAAAGTAAAATCATTAGAAAAACTTTTGTTCAGGGGACTCGAACCCAGCACCAGCACCTTTCTAACTTAAGGTACAACACAATATCCAACTGGGAAAAGCTAGTTTGATGTTTATTTTATTGTATTGCTACTTTATACATATACTAACTGAAATAAAAGGACGACCAGAAAATCGAACACATCATGTTTAGAGCAGAAAAAAAAGGTAAGATGCATTTTCTGAGCTGTAAAGCATAGCTCATGTACAAAAATATTTCGATGTTATGCTTACAGATTTACAGGCTTACAGCATTAGCATACCCTTGAAATACACATAGCAGTGTACAGGCTGCACTTAAATCATGTACAACTTCCTTGAACAAATCGAGCACCCTTCATCTAGACCTGTACTTGAATACTTTACAACTTTGTTGAACAAATCATATTGCACTGTACAATGGATACAAAGTTTAAAAGGGATAGAACAAACAAATCATTGGCAGAGTCCCAGTCCCTGTGGTGTCTAGCATAACTTAAAGTTCCAGTTGAAGTGAAACTTTCAGACTGTATATTGTCCAGCAAAGTACTATCTTACTGCTGCAGAGAATGATACTATAAACTGAAACAAGAATGCACACAGTGAACATAGATCAATCAAGTCAGACCCCACAATAAGACAATATATAGTCTTCATTGAAGATACTAAAGTGATAGCAGAGTTACAGATGCATGAGTTATTCTTTGCTAACAAATAACTGGCCATGAACTGGATGCTGATCGAATTTATATATTATCTATCTAACTGAATTTACTTTTTTCTTAGAGTAAAATACAAAGGGACATAAATTTTCAAAAATTCATCTCTAATCTCTTCAAGTGATTTTTCATAACGAGCTTCAGCTTCTTTTCTTTCCAAGGCATTTGCCTCATCTCTAGCGAAGATTAATGCACCCTTTTCATATTCTGCCTTCAAGTATTCATCTTCATCACTCTCTTCCATGGTGTCTGTTACCAAGGAGTCTTCTACAACCTGCTGGTCCATGATGTCTGCTCCCACTTGCTGATCCATGGTGTCCTCAACAACTGAAGCTAAGGAGTACCAACCCATATGGTCATCTTCATTAATCTCTTTCTCTTTCATGGTGTCTTCAACAACGTTTGCCATCAAATTAACCTTGGAGTCTCTAAGTAATTCCTTTGGTTCATCTTCCTTTACAACTTGGTACATCTTGTCCTCGACAGCATCACCCATAGTGTCCTCAACAACTGAAACAAAGGAGTAGCTATGGTCTTTGGACCCAACTGAATCCAAGGAGAAGCTATGGTCTTCAGACCCTTCAATTGAAGTATGTATAGAGTTAGCTGGATGCAGAACTCAATTTTAAGTAAATAGAAATAACTTGTATTGCTAGCATTATAGCAGAGGTGAAAACAAGAGATGTACACCATTTAAGTAAAGCACTGCTGATACTATAATTATTTCAAATTACAATTAAAATCAACAAACTAGTAGTACCATCATGAAAAACAGTCTAGGAGAAGAATATATGTCAAATTAGGAAGAACTAATGCACATGTAACTATAATTGTTAATTGCACAGAAGTCACACCTAATGTTTCTGTTTATAAAATATAATTATGAGTTCATTCTATGAATAAAGCTAGAACACTTGCTGTTCTTGCCTACAAACAAACAAATTGCCTACATTCCTCTATTACTAAGGCTGTGTTTAGATCCAAAATTTGGATCCAAACTTCAGTCCTTTTCCATCACATCAACATGTCATACACACACAACTTTTCAGTCACATCATCTCCAATTTGAACCAAAATCCAAACTTTGGATCCAACTAAACACAGCCTAATGCTAATGAAAGTGCCATAGCTACCACAAAAATAAATTGTCAGGACCATATCAAACATTTCAGGTTGAGGGCAGCATAGAAATAATCAGTATCCACCTAGCAAACTTTGCAGCTTTTATTAGTTTCGAAGAGGACAATACAACCAACACTTTAACCTGGCAAGATTTAACATTTAACCTAGCACATAATTCAATATGTTTCACAAATCATATGCAAATGTTTACATTAGGAGATTGGAGAATACCTGTTGTGACTATTTTCGTCGATTGATGAGTCCCAAGTGAACTGGAACAAATAACAGAGTGGCTGGGCAGATCAGGTGGAGAGATGTACTCATGGAGGAGCTTGGCATCAAGATGTTCAGTGGTGGGGAGGATTGACATTTGGGAGCCCTGAGGAGACCATGTAGGCCATTCGATGCAGCCCCTAGTTGTCACCTCCGGTGATAAACTGCGGCTGCGAGACATGGCGGTGAATCAACACTCCTCTCATCTCTCAACCTCATGATTTATACTGATTTGGGGCGAAATATGTGGGGATAGCAGAGGGGATCTCGGATTTGGAATCAAAAACTGTTGATTCATATTGATTTGGGGCGAAATATGTTTGGGGAAAAGAGGGGATTTTGGAATTGGAAGGGAGCAGTGGATTGGAGGGGATCTGATAGACTTTTCCTATGCCGACTTTTCCTATGCCAATGATGGGGATTCTTCCTCCCGCTGTGCCGCTACCTCCTTTGTGTGGCAAAGAGCAGCAAAGAGCAAAGTTATAGGGAGCATGGGCAGCAGCTGCAGGCTTGCAGCTGTGGAGCGAATCGAAGGCGGTGGCCGAAGCTGAGGGCAGCGGCGGCGGCGGTGGCCGAAGCCGAGGGCGGCGGCGGCGGCAGTGGCCGGAGAGCTGAGGACACAGGTCGCTGAGTAATAACGACCATTTGCAATTGCCCATCCAACCTGAGTAAATAACAACAACAACCGTAGCCCACTACGCATTAGCGACCACAAAAAATTAGCGTCGTCGGATACCAGAAATCGGCCCAAAGCAGTATCAACGACCAAGATTATGCAGCCGTCGTTAGTTTTTGGTCGTTGACATTCACTATTCTAGTAGTGTCTTTCCCGGGAGCGCCAGAACTCCTCTCGCTGCTAGAAACATGGACGCCTAGAGTGCATGAGGATTTAAGTTCATGGAGCGGGTACTGCCAATGCGAGGTTATCGAAAAGCTTTGCCGTGACGCGTCTCATGTGTTGGGACGAGGCTCATGTGTTGGGCAGTCGCGAAGTGCGGGTAAAGTGTACATCCACTGCAGTGTGAGTAAACTAAATCTATTCGAATAGCCGTGCTCGCGGTTACTGAGCACCGTGTATTACACTTGACTAGACTCTAAATTCTTAATTTGTGTGGGATGGGATATTGCATGATGATTTTTATGCTGTTGGAGCCACTTCCTGAGAGGCTGGAAGGTGGACGTCCTCAGAAAACCATGACGACTCAATAGCGGGAAGCTATCCTTGGGATCACAATGGATGGTGGTCAGAACCGTCATTGTTTACTATGAACACTGATGAACACTGGTACTAAAATTTGGTCAGTCTATGCTAGGTATTAGGTTTGTGAAAAGAATTACAAAACTTGCTTTGCGCAAAAGAACCATAGCCATTCCTTGAAATACTCCTACCATGTGCATTGTTGCTGTGGTGGCTTGTTGAGTACGGTTGGTACTCACCCTTGCAATATATACACTTAATCAGAGGCCGGAGATGAAGCTTTGGAGGATCCCTATGCCTATTACCAAGAGGGTGATGAAGACGATGGCGCTTAGTAGGTCTTAGTTACGGTCGATGCCTGTGGCAATAGCGTGCCGCTGCCTAAACTCCGCTGCCTTATCTATTTCTGCTTTTGGAATGTATTCCGGACCGCTCGGTTCGATGATCTAAGACTACACCTGCGGGCTTTTGATGTAATAATTCGCACTAGACTTTCGTGTATGTGTATTTGGTATTTCAGCTATAAACTCGTGTGTACCAGACTACTTGATTCAGGGAAATGGTACTGTTTACACGATTGATTCCTGTTATAAAAACGGGGTCCACACTAAAACACCGGCCAGAGTCCTCTTGTTCTAAGCTAGACTCTGGATCAGAGTAAGGCAGTTAACAATGGTTAATTACGCTAAGCAAACATTATTAATGGCTAGTGTCATATATAATTACTGTTAGTTACTTCTAGAAACGGAATCAACCTTACGTCGATGTCATGGATAAACTTGTGACGTGGTGGTAGGGGGCGGATCTACAGTACGTGTAAGCGTCGGTGTCCGACGATTTTTAGGAAAAACTATTGTAAAACTGCTTATCTATATATCATAACACTATAATCTAAGTATAATTAGCATATTATGACACCGATAGATAGACTCCAACGAATCAATTTTCTAGATCCGTCGCTGCGTGGTGCAACACGAAGAAGATCCTAGTAAGCCCCATACATTTTTTAATTAGCTTTTCGTAAGCATGCATGCACAGATAATTAATCTATCATATGCTTAAGGCATCATGACTTTGCCAACCTGATTTTGGACGATTCAGGGACCGGGCCCTTCTTATCTGATATGATCGTCATCACTTTTTAGGCATTGCATGAATTGTTATTCTATCATAATCCGGCACTGTAATCCTATGACATTTCTTTAATGGAAATGCAGGACCATGTGCCCTTGCTCAAAAAAAAAAAATCCTAATCCGGCACTTAAACTAGGAGTAGTGCAGAAGCACCAATTATAACCGACCTTTCTAACATGCATGTGTGAGTGTGACTTAATCATCATGCTTTAGCTAGCTGTTTATTGGTGATTGCTTCAATTAATTATCAAATTCAATCCATGGGAGATTAGATGTTGTTGCTAGCTAGAGCCGTAGAGGTAGTAGACCGGACACACGATGGTTTGAAAGGGTTATAAGGATTAACAAAACGCTGTCTCCAATAGGGAGACGTGATTAAGCAAGTTGAGAGAATCAACTTAGTTTAATTTGGGCTTATCTATATATCTAATCATGCCAATCATTGTCAAATAACATGTCAGTAAGATTGAAATGTATGCTACGGATCGTACAGTAAGCATTACGTCATCCGTACCACATGCATGAAGCACTGATGAGATGAAGGCGATGCAACATTGCAACCTAAATAGTTTTTTTTTTTAAAAAAATGCAACCTAAAAGCAATTCTCCTTTAATTTGCGTGCTCTGACGAAACCGTCTCCTGTTCCTTTTCTCTTGACCAACATCCTCAACATATGCTACCGGCCACTTGTTCAGAAATTTTTTCCTTTAAGAAAATAGGTAAAATCCGATCTCTTATCCAACCGGATCTACACTGCAGCTAGCCAAACCAAATTATACAAAATGCTAGAAATACTATATTCAGTATGATAAATACACACGGCATTAATGAGAGCTCCTAGCTACTACTGTCCATTACAGTCTATTACTATTCTTTAGCTAGCTGAAACCGACCTTTTGCTGAAAGTAAAATTTTGGTTAAGCTAGCATAGCAACGCTTGAGATTTCCAATTGTCGGCAACAACGACGTACGTCATGTTGGCCCATAGATAGGTTGCCACATAAGGTGTTTGTTTCATTGTTTGGTTCTTGGGGGTCATGACCTGCAACTCTCAGCTGCAAGCTAGAAAGAACTGATCAAGGCAGGGTTTAATCTTTTGGTTTCGATGTTTCTATCGGAGGATGCCGATATACCGAAATTCCTAAAAGGGAACAAAATGTCAAAGCTGAGTAAGCAAGCACATCATGCTATCTAATTCTTCAGAGCTGCCAAGATCCAAGAATTCTTCAGAACAATAAATTCAGAGCAGCTAGATACAAAAGTACATGCTGTCATTGGCTACGAGCAGCTGGCCGGCTCTTGTATATATATTTTCTTAGCTACGAGACTAGCTAGGTATTACTCCAGTACTAGATACTACGCGCCTTTCGTGGTTAATTTTTACGAAGCCAACTACAGTAGCTACTTGGGGTATATCACATGACAATATGACATCACCACAAGGCTTGCATGCGCCGTCCAACTAATTAACTTGCATATACCGGCCTGGCTGCACGTGATTATCTCGATCTAACAGCACTTAATTAGCTAGCTTGCACCAAGCTGTGTAGTGCTTGCTCTGCGCTAGCTGTGTTTGTTAACCTCAAGCCCTCTCCTAACTTACATGCATGACAAGATTAGAAAAAAGGAAAGAGTAATAAATTGATTGTGCTTTGCACCTGATAGATTCTTGTACTGTATATCCCTCTCACTTGTTTTCCTTAATTTGCACCACTTCTTTTGATTGCCATCAGTCGTATAATATGGTGCAAAGTGCAACATGTGCACAAAAGAAAGATATGACCACAATATAATTAAAAGAAGTACTAACAGAAGAAATCTCATACACAAGTATATCCAAAGGCTATGGCAGTCCCAAAAAATCAATCATCAGTTCAGCACCACCAACAATTAATTAACAGAAAAAAACATAAAAAAAACACGACCTTGGTATATACAAAAGGCACCCAATTAATTTAAACAAATGGAGTAGAATGATCTCTCTAGCTACCTACGAACTAAACAATGAAGCAATCAACAGAAATTAAACTGAACATATATATCCCTAAATCTCCATGACCATCCATGCAAATAAAGTACTCCATCCATGTCCATGTTCATGTTCAGAAACTCAGTATGCAGTAGCCGAGCACAAAAAACTCTCGAAACACAGCAGCAGCATGCAGTACATATATGTATATGTGATTACTCTCGTGATATGTAATGATCCCCATAATTCTCTATCTTGTACTGCGGCACGCCAAGGGGATTCTGCTGCGAAACTCCAGCCGTCGCCGACCTTATTGATGAACCCTTGTTGCTGCTCGGCAGTAGCGTACCATAATCCGGGACAGCAATGATATCTTCTAGGTCTTTCACCATTGCTGCCTGCTGCTGCTGCTGCTGCAAGTTGTAGTAGCTGCTTCCAATTCCATGGGCTCCTCCAGCTCCAGGCGTATTATTCCAAGAGGAGACGTGCTGCTGCAGAGGCGCACTATAGCAGTTTGGCTGATGCTGGAAGCTACTGGCGGTAGTCGTACTAGTCATCGTCGTACCTGCAGAAACGGAGGAATGAACCGCATTGTTGTTGGGCGGCGCCGACAAGATGTTGGCAGATGAGTTGCTGAAGTCGTAGATGCTGGGGTCGGCGAAGATGTCATCTAGCTGAAAGATGTCGTCGTCGTCGGCTTGATCAACGGCAGGCTGCTGCTGCTGGTTGTTGATGGCTTCGTCTCCCTGCTTCTTGTGGAACACCTTGCACACAACCCATTCGTTGGGATTGAGACGAAGGTTTGGGTAGTGGTTGTGGAGGTTGGCGTGGGGACGGAACTCGTGCATCACCCAGTTGGTCCTGGTGCCCTTTGGAGCCCTCCCCATGTAGAACACCAGCGTCTTCTTCATCCCGACAAGCTGCTTATTGTTCTTGCTGCTTCCTTCGTAAATGGCAGGCTTGAAGATCTCCCTGTCCTTGCCGGTGGCCTTCCAATATCCCTCTTTGGTGGCTCGGTTGGTTCGCATCCCCGTCGGGTATTTCATGTCCTTGCGGCTGAAGTACCATTCATTGTTCCCCATCCTCGCCGCTGTAATTTCAATTCATCAATATTTGTATAGCATGAGATAGGAGAAATTAACATCGATCAATAACTAATTAATTATTTGTGCATCTACATCTAGAAGCTTTTGGAAGAAAGAAAAGAAAAGAAAACAAATTTGACTTACTTGGGAGATCCCATGGCTCGCACTTGTTGAGGTCGACCTCGTGGATGGGCAAGGAGGTGAAGCTAGGGTTGATGAACTTCTCAAGGAGATAGTTCAAGATAACTTCAGCGTCCGTCGGATGAAACCTGAAGCCTGGAGGTAAGAACAGGCTGCCAAGCTCCGATTTCACAGGCTCCACCATGCTGAAGCTAGATTGAGGAAATTAAGCACTAGCTAGCATTAGTGATCACTAGACTGAAGAAAGAGGAACAATAAAAGCATAAATTATATTAAGAGCAAGTTTAATAGTATAGCTATATACTAGCTTCAAATCATTTATAGCCAATTTAATACATATAAACATATACTACACTATTAATAAATGGCACCCCATGTCATACATACATTATGTTTTATATTCTGTGTTGTAGCTAACTATAAATTGTAGCTTGTTGTTCCTCTCTCCTCTTTTATCTTCTCGATATATGTTTATAGGTGGCTTATAGTCTGCTATTGTATCTACTCTGAGGAATCGGAGTGGCTAGAGGAGAAGGAGAGTATAAAGCTGGTGGCACAAGCAAGAAAGGTGGAGACGATCGACGAGGCGATATGATGGATGGGAAATGGAACAGAAATGAAGGAGATAAAGGAGCTAGCTAGCTATATATAGTGCTTCGAGACTTTTTCCCTGGTTTTTTAGGGAGCCGCGTTAACAAGCCCACAAAAATCTTTGTTAGCAAGGAAGAGAAAGTCATCTCCGTTCACTCGGTTTCAATAGTGTTAGAACAAATTAAAATAAGTGGTATGTTGTGCCCGTCAAATTAATCGGATTTATACATGTTGTGCTTACATAGATCCACATCTAGTTTAGTCTAATTAACTAATGTTATTATATTCTTCTTGTATAACATCAATCTGTTTTGCCAGCTAATGCTGGTGGTGACAGCTACGGCTAGCCAGGAACGCGACCCAAAAGAAACTAACTGTCCAGAAGGCTTGTGTAGTTGTGTGGTACGGTAGGAGGCCGCTTAATTGACCTTCATTTTCATGTGTAGTAGTAGCTTCTATCCTTTTAAAAAGAAAACTTAATTTTCATGTATCTGAGATACGAATCACTGTTCTCATCTTCTCATGGTAATAGAATTGTGTTCTCTTTCCTTTTCTTATCCATGGATTAATCCAGCTTGCTAGCTTGTCTAATTTTCTCCGATTAATTTGTACTGAGTTTAATGTGCAGTTCATTCCTTAAAAACAAAAAAAAAAGACTTGCGGGTCTATATAGTTTGTCTATTTGTAATACTAATTGCCATCGTCACCTTAGATTATTACTCTCTTCATTCTAAAATATAATAGTAATAACTATTTTTTTAGGTTTCGTAATATAAGACGTGCATACGTACGTACATGATCGACATGATTAACTTGCACATCTCACTTCTCTAAATTCGTATTTTTAAATTCTACACCCTTAAGAACTCTAATTTTATTAGATGCATCAGTGCATGCATTGTCGTGTGATTAGTATTTTTTTAATTTTTATAAATTAAGTGAGAAGGCTTTTTTTTAATTTTTATGTTAGAGGTTTGTATCTTATATTTTATTTTAGAACGTAGGGAGTACTAAGTTAATTAACTGCATGTACTACTGCTTAATTACTGTATTTCTTGGTAATTTCTTGGTAATTGCTCTCATCTCTCGATCTCTCTTTGACAAAGTAAAGCCTAATTAACATAGTACTAATTAAATTTAGCGCGCTGAGTCAGATCCTACTATGTATATACGCCTACGAAGGGTCGTCAGCGATCAATTCATCCATGCTGGGTGCTGTATGCATGCCCGCTGTTTCTAACCTGGCCCTGTTGTTGCAAATGTCGGTGCGCATGCAGTGAGTACTCCCTCCGTCCCAAAAAAGGTAAACCCTAGCTATATATTTGGACATGATGCATGTCTCCAGATACATAGCCAGGGTTTGTCTTTTTCTGAGACGGAGGGAGTAGTTGAGTACAATCTATCTTTCTGCTTAATATAAGTCTCATCTCTCAACTGCGTGTATTAAGTGCATTTAGTTAGTAGTTAGGCCCAACAAGCTAGCTAAGGTAAGTTCTATATTATCGTTAGTTTAACAGTTGGACGAAGCATGCATGCATATGCGGCAGCAACATATATTTGACTGATACGTCTTAATTAATTGCTAGAGCAACGTCGGTGTATATATATAACTAGCTGGGTGGCCCACGCAATTGCGCGGCTAGCACCCAAACAAAATCATATACTGTATTTTTTAGTATGATTTTACTTAAAATTTATAAATAGCTATCTCGTTGTCTTAAAACTTTAAAAGACCAAAGCTTATCATCCCCGTGTTTCTAATTATATAGTTTTTTAAAGTCAAACCAGTTGCTACCCCTTACTTCTGCCATCTCCTTCTTTATTTGCTTGCTCGATCTACCACTATTTCTATTTATTCTCCATGGAACCTTTAAAAATTGGATCTTATAGTTTTTAGAATTTATTGTCTTGTTGGGCTTCTTTTTATAATTTCTAGAAGTCTCGTCAAATGTTGTCATTCCAAAATCTATTTCTAACCCAACAATTTATTTTGAAATAAAACTATTTTTCCATCTGCCCTATCCCCCAACAATCATAATCATTTTCTTCACCCTACCATAACCTTTCTTCAATCATTCCTACTTTTTTCTAATACTTGTGCTTACCTAAGAAAATGTTTATATTCTGATACGGAGAAAAGTTTAATTTAAAATGATCGATACCCAACTCTGATCAGGAGTCAAGACTGGCATTGAATCCAAAGTACGTACAGCTAGCTTTTTTTTCTAATAATAGAATATAATATCCTGACCTTTTCTCAAAAAGAGATATAACCAATTATTGCAAAGTAGTACTCTAGAAAAGAGTGTAGATCAAATAAAAAATAGAACACACTAAACCAAAAAGGAAGAAATAACCAAGCCAAAATAAGAAGAACACAATTATTCAAGCCTATTTGTAAATTAGTGAAAAATTAGAAGTCACTAATCAATTTCAAAAGTTAAGTATTTGTTGCTAGCATTAATTAATTTCAGATGAGAAAAAAAACCACATTACTGTACTCCAATAACATTTCAGGATAATTTGGTTAGCATTCAGTATGCAGGAATTTTAGTTGTCCCGAATAATGTGCAGCGAGCCAGTGACCTATTCAATCCATTTATTACTTCTCAATGTACAAAGAGTATGGATAAAGATGCTTGATCCGAAAACTAACTTAATTAACAGTTTTGACAATTTTTTTTTTGCGGGGAACAGTTTTGACACTTGAAAAGAGTTACAACTAAGCTTGCTAGTACTACTTTGGAGAATTTAAATGTATATGGAATATTTGACATAGTAGACTCTATATATTTTCTCTGAACTGGACAGCTGGCTCTTCTGAGATCTAACACGTCACCAGCTGCAAGATATGGCCTTGGATACATGCAAGAAAAGTATTCCATGCCCAGCTGTACTACACTAGTTAATGAAGAATCCCATGCAATTTTTCTTCTTTTCTTGAAAAAAACATATACACATGGATCTGTCTGTATTGTCTAACAAAGCTAAATATAATAATATATATTTCCATATTAAATTTATTTTTAGCTATTAAAAAATAAGTTCATTTCTAAAGTAATTATTGCATTGGAGTTTGTAAAATTAGAGAATAATTATGTTGAGAGTAGATAAGCGAGGAATAATTATATTGAGATTTGATATAGTATGGATATTCTAGACTTAGTTTTTTTTATGTGTAAGATGGAGGTAATAATACATAACTGCAGTATCTGTCAGCAAACAGGTGGAGTAACATCTTATACCGAGACATTGAGAAAAATGGATAATTCTGAAACGTGGTTAAGTAATTTCTGGCCCAGCCCAAGAGTTTACCTGTCAGCTGACTGCGACTCGAAGTTAAGAAAGTCTGAGCGTTGGGCTGTTTGGCCCACATAGCTCTCCGGCCCAGTTTGCTCTCCCAAGCCAGTTCACAATCCCCCGTTAACCTGGTTAATTACGCTAATCAACCAACCAATTATTAATGGCTAGTGGTAGTGGCATAATTACTGTTAGTTAAGTTACTTCTAGAAAGGGAATCAACCGTACGTCCATGTCATGGATAAACTTGTGACGTTGGTGCAACACGAAGATCCTAGTAAGCCCGGCCCCTCTCATTTTTCAATTAGCTTTTCGTAAGCATGCATGCTTACAGATAATCTATCATATGCATGCTTAAGGCATCATGACTTTGCCACCCTGATTTTGGACGCACATACCCTTCCTTCTTATCTACTCTCATCTGATCGTCATCACCTTTTAGGCACTACTGCATGAATTGTTATCCTATCCTAATCCTTCACCTAAACTAGTGCACAAGCACCAATTATAAGCAGCCTCTCTAACATGCATGTGTGAGCGTGACTTAATCATCATGCTTTAGCTAGCTGTTTCTTGGTGATTGCTTACTAATTAATCCAATCTATGGGAGAGATTGAAGGTTGTTGCTAGCTAGCTAGAGCCGTAGAGGTAGACCAGGACACACGATGAATTGTTAGGGTCAGAAGAATAAACAAATCGCTGTCTCCAATAGGGAGACGTGGTTAAGCAAGTGGAGAGAATCAACTTAGTTTAATTTGGGCTTATCTAGTGGGAAGATGTCATGCTATTTGCACGCTTGATCAACCACTCCGTTGAGCAACGTGCTCTGCCGCCGTCTTTCCGTTGTCCTTGAACGACATAAACAATGCTGTTTTGATTGTTTAATTAGGTCGCTGATGACGCGTGTTAATTAAGTAGGCGCCATTGCGTTTTCGGATATTGGTCTAGCAATCTGAAGCACAGTTCTTCCTCAGTACTGAATTGTGGACAAGACGACCATTAATTTGTCATTTTGGTTGGAGTCGTAGAGATTAGTTGATGAAGCAGCTGGTTTGTCCTGAAGTATTTGACAAATTGAGCAAGAATTTAGTCAGTATTGTTGTTTGAAAGTACAATTGATCAGCGTACTATATGTACAAGTGGTGTTATGCAAGCTACTCCTAGCTGCAGGGCACTCGTTTGGCGCCGATGATCAGAGCCATCTCAATCTACTCGAAAGGAATCTTGAGCAGGCAAAGGTATATTCCGACCTCAACTGTAAAGTTTATCTAATCCTTTCAAAATGGATAAGGATTGAAACTTTGAAGATGCAAATGCTAGCTAGCCCACCAACTAGTCCTTTGCATAGTACAAGACCAATTATATATCAGCACATTCAGACAAGAACAAATTGTTTAATTTGTAAGGTCCAATGAATCAACGACAAAGTAGCATGTTTCTTTCGTGTGCTTGATACCAGAATAATTAAGAAACATGCATAAAGATTATCATATAAATTGGCTTGAGTACTAGCTTGCACGATATTACCATTTATAATTTACATTCTTGTACATGAAAATGAAAACAAAAAAAAACTCACAAATTAATGCCATAGGAAGAAATCTGAATCTTTCCTTGCATCGGTTACATCAAGAATTCCGTCTGTTTGTCTATCTGCCCATGCAACTCCTCAAAATAAATCACAAATGGAACAATCAGTA